CGGCAAGTAAGTAGAGCGTCAGTGAATGAAATGTCACAATTTTGCATTGTGCTTTGAAAACGGCAGCGGGTAGCCTAGATTTATGCTTTCAATTTGAATAGAAATCTTATACAGAACAGTTTGTCGATCTAAAATGGTAATTGTGCATTAACAGCTGTCATCCATGTCGGTACGCAAATGCGCTGTCAGAACTTATTTATACAGCGCATTTTTTATTTTGGTCGCACATGCGGAACTGCGGACCACTTATGTGCACCCCTGTGTATACTGTATCAACTATAGGCTACTGTATGCATTTGGGACAGAGGACCTTCTTTGTGATCGCTATCATTTATGCAGTTCATTACTGACATTTAATTAAACTTAGAAATGTTAAATGCTTGAATATATATAATCATTTTGCTTGAAATTGTATCTGTTATGTTACATTATTACTGCTGCACGACTCATCAGTTTCTCATTTACAACGATATATTTGTAATGTGCATCTTTCTAATTTTTAATCTTTATTGTTAATACATGTATATTAATAAGAAATGTGATTTGCATATGTGTATAATTTAGTTCAGTGATGTTATACAGTGTTGTAGCCTAATCTTTTGTATTTTCTACATTTCTTTGTAGGAAACCACACACACACACTCACACATAACATCCCGAGCTTGTAACGCACATGATATCACAGCCTATCGTACATGACTAATAAAAATCACAAAAAAATTATTATAATATATTATTATATAGGCCTACTATTTGATATCAAACAAAGTGAGTAAATTGAATTAAAGTAAATTCAATCCAAGCAGTTTAAGATTTTTTAGAACAGGCTCTTTTTTGCATTCTTCTGAAGGTGCTCCGCCTGCGCTTGCGGTGTTGAATGCGTTGTTTTTAGATGATTTAAACATGTTAATTACACAAATAAAATGTTTAGCGTAGCCTAACTCTGGACAAACAGTGTTTGATTAGCCTATATTTAATTTATTTATTGTAGACGTTATTTCTAAGTGAAGCAACATTTGCTGAAATATCCACAAGAAGAGCGCACGGTCATCTGTCGATCATTTGCCCTGAGTTTGGTCTTTTAAAAACACTCTCAATTAATGCATTAAGCCAGGTTAAGCGTTTTAGAATGTCCCCGTCAAGGTTGCATTTGTTACTTATAGCAACAGTAGACTAAATTAAGTCGTGATCATGAGAAAAAAAGTTACAAAAAAAGATAATAATGCATGGCCACTTAGAACTTCCGTACAATTACAGATTAAAAGAAAGGAATAAAATGTAGGCCTACTGTAATAAGTGTAGAATTGCCTTGTCTGTTTACTCACTTGCATCAATCAGAGTGAGAGAAACAGTGAGAGATGTTGAGACAGGTAAAAAGCATTTGGGTAATAGTGAATATTGACCTATTGTGCGTACCGTTGTTGCTCCCGCTGTTAGCAGGGGATAATCACTGCATTTGGGGTAAAAAAGACAGAATTATGTATTGTGCCAAGAAGGTTGTCTGTTCGTTCACAGAGTCATGAACTGATTGGCAGCTGCCTTTAGCAGAGCCTTTACCGATTACCTCCATTGATCAAAGCATTCGGCACGGTCATCTGTGAGTGATGTCACCTCCAGATACAAACACGCCCCATAGTATAGTCCCGCCCCTCACATTGATTGACAGATTTCCATGTAGACATCGGAAATTCAAATGCAAAAGGAATTGTGATTCCATTTGAGTTTTGGTAGGTTACATGCACGACGCAGAGGGAGTGAATAAGCAAATGTGGTAATTAATATTGGTATTTAAATATGACAGGCTCATAACTCGTAAGAAATGGGAAATACAGTTGCAAATGGACTTTGCTTTTTCATTTGGAATGTGGCAGTCACTGTGCGTTCGCGAAAGCGAAAATGCAAATGGTAATGCAAAATTTGCAGTTGCATTTGGATTGTCACAATTTATGCGTCCACATGTGGAAAACACAATTGAAAATACAATTTGCAATTCCTTTTGAAAAGAGTCCTGAATATTCTTCCATAAGTCTGCCTGCCTGAGATGCAAATTCACTCTCTGACAGCAGGTGGCGCTTATGGAACATCAGCGAAATAGTCTTTCCTTGGTTACTGCTGTAAACAAACTAGGGCTGCACTTATAGGCCCTGTCCCAAATGGCACACTTCGTGTGCACTTTCGGTCTTGAGGACTTACAATGGCCGCTACGTGCGCGTGTCCGTTAAGTCCACAAGACTGTAGGGTGTCCCATTTGTCATTTTAGCTTTCAGAAGGGTGCTCGCGAGTGCCCCCTTTGCGGCCGCTATGTGCCCTCGATCCCCACTTCTGCTGAGCCCGCAAGCCTGCGAGCAACGCAGCCGACTTCTACCCGGCAGTCAAAGTGGCATTACGTCACGAAAATGAGGACTCAGAGGAAGACCGTGAGGGTTTAGGGTGCCATTTGGGACAGGGCCATAAACCTTCTTTAAAGGCACAATATGTAAGTTTTCGCCGCTAGAGGGCGCGTATTCAAAACAAACAAAGAAGCAAAGGTGTAGTTTGACAAAGCCGTGACTGAGTGCGGAATAATGGGAGTTGTCGTCTTCATCCACACAGCCGATGCAATCTGACGGGACTCAGGCAGAAATCATGTTAGTCAGCAAAATATGTAACACTGTTCTAGTGATTTTTGGATATTTTAATAAAAAAATCTTACATATTGTGCCTTTAAATGCATTGTACAAGATGAAAGATGAAAAGAAAATACCATCTCAGAACAGTCGGTTCCCTTCAGTGATACATTAATATAGGGCTGGGCGATATAGCTAAAAAATGTATCAACGATATAAACGCCTAAAATGAAATACGGTGCAACATGCCGCAATCGACACTGTCTGTTCATATTCACTTTGTTACCAACAGACGTAATAGATTTAATTTGTTTGTGCAGGGGCATTTTTGTCGAATTTAGTGGCATTTTTGCCCCATCTAATTTCTAATGTTTTATATGCAGATTAAATAGGTCTTTATTGTATAGGTCTAATTGTCTCCCAAGGCCACACGAGGGCGCAATGAGCAAAATAATGCAGCGCATTTAGCAAGAAACTCTATAAAAACGTGCATTGTCTAAATTAACTCATAAAAATAAAATATAATTTCGTAAATTGCATAAACAATTATGAACAAAACAGCATCATGTATTTATGCATTGCTTAATCCAAAGAGCCGAAGCGCCATTCACACAGACTGCATTTAAAAACATATGAGATGCAGTGAAAAGGAATAAACCTCCACAAATCCGTGACGTGTTTTCTAAAAGTTTAAACTGTTTTAACTTTGCATGGCTTTCTATACATCTCTTCTGTGAGACGTGAGTGCAGCAGTCATATTTGTCCGTCTAAAAATACGCTGAATATGCGTTCTGTGTGAATGGCTTGGTTTCGGTTTTAACCCATTCAAGATCTTCTCTGCACTGAGCTTCTATATTTCTCTAATATTTTGAATGCATAACACAGCAGCGGCGCATCTCGTGGGCTAGACTAACAAAACATTCAAATGCAACAACGTCACTTACATCATCACCGCATCTCGTGTGCCACTGATGACGCTCCCTGATGCACACCTAACATTCAAATGCAAATGTTTATTTTAAATTCGACTAATATTCATTCTTTATTCACAATCTCCTCATCACAGGCAGGCACAGCACTCATTTCAGCATGTGTTCGTATGCAAATTATTTGCACTCAAATGCCCCCAAATATATTTTGAGGTCGCGCTGATTAAATTCCGGGAGCATATGCGACCAAAATGGTCGCAATTTCGAGCCCTGGGATTGGAATGACGTGAGGGCAATTTGATAACAGAATTTTTGTTTTTTGGGTGTGCTATTTCTTTAACCTTTGTTCTGTGATGATAAATCCTTTGGTGTTCCCATTCAAAAAATAAATAAATAAATACACTAGCCTTTTAAATATTGCTTTTAAATCTCTTTTATTTATGTTTGATCACCAAATCTTGGATTCAGTCTTTTTGTCAACTTGTTTTCTTTCAATTAGTACGGGCAATTTTTGGTTGTTGTTAAACCCTGTGTGAACTAAGTTAGTACATTTTTGTCAGTATTAGTTAATTAATGCAATAAAATTAACTGGCATTTTTGGGAAAAAGAAAATCCTGAACACATGGACCGTCACAAAACATGAGGGTTATACGCAGCCAATAAACCATGTATAGAAAGGGTGCTGTTTAATATTAATTGCAAATTATATGACCATCCTCAATATCTCTGCACCAACATTTAATAATCATGAAACTACACAACCTCCTTGCTGGCCATATTACCTATTCAGTCCTTTGTTCAGTCCAATTGAGTGCAGTTAAGAATGGTAGTGTTCATTCATTTATTCATCTAAAATCATAATTTTAAGGGGTGATGCAAACATTTGTGACCCTGGAACACAAAACGAGTCTTAAGTTGCACGGAAATATTTGTAGCAATAGCCAACCATACATTGTATGGGTCAAAATTATTGATTATATTATATTACTATATTTTTCTTTTATGCCAAAAATTATTAGGATATTAAGTAAAAATCATGTTCCATGAAGATATTTTGTAAATTTCCTACCGTAAATATATCAAAACTTAATTTTTGATTAGTAATATGCATTGCTAAGAACATTTTTTGCGCACTCATCATCAATGGGAAGCTTATTTATTCAGCTTCAGATGTATAGCCTAAATCTCAATTTCAAAAAATTGACCCTTATGACGGGTTTGGTGGTCCAGGGTCACATTTGATGTTTTTACAACTACCTGCTTTTCATTTATCTAGCATATGTAATAATTGCTATATATATGTAATATATTACATATGCTTTAAAAAAATTAAAGTAAAAGTGTATTGATATAAATTGCCATTTCCTTCATAACTTTTGAGTAAATGCTGTTCTTTAATCTCCAGCATGTTATTATTTTACATAAATTTCACTAAGCCATACTTTATCTGCATGCCCCTCTTTAGGTGGAGAGAATAGTAGGCAAACGTAAGAACAAAAAGGGCAAGACTGAGTACCTGGTCCGCTGGAGAGGCTACGGCTTTGAGGGAGACACCTGGGAGCCGGAGAATCACCTGTCCAGCTGCGTCGAGTTCATCCATGAATTTAACCGGCAACACAGCGAGAAGCAGAAAGACGTAGCTTTACTCCGTTCCACACGTAGCTCTCCCAGCACAGCCGGAGGCAACGCCCGCAAACAAATCAGCAGGCCTCAGCAGTCCTCAGTGAGTCCTAACACAGCGAAGACCTCTCCCCCCACCCCAAACACACCCTCCACAAAACGGCTTCAGCCAGCACAGCATTCACCGCACAACAGCGATGCGCAGCAGCAGAAGAGTAAGCGATCGGCTGGCGTGAGTAGCAGTGGCACAGTCACTGACACGGCTCCGACGGCAGCGCCGACAGCTGCTCCCACTGTGAGTGCGCTGCGGCGTAGTATGGACCTGGCTAAATCTGGCATCAAAATCCTAGTGCCGAAGAGCCCAATGAACAGCCGCACTGACACAGAGGAGTCTCCCAGTGAGGCAGCGCACAGTCTGGAGCAGGGAGGCCAAGAGCCAGATGCTGTGCCCCCTGAAGTGGCCTTGCTGGAGAAACCCGCCAGAGCTGTGCGTGTACAAGGAGAGGAACGGGCTCGTATGGGCACGAGGCCCAGAACGCAAACAGCCCTTCTGCCACCGCAGATTCCCATTACCCCCGCTGCCGTCCGCACATTAAACGGGAAAGGTAGAGTTCTCTCGACTTACACTGAGAACATTACACTACATTCTTTTGAGGTTTAGTAGAGTGGGTTTTAGTTCCAGGCCTGGAAGCACCATTAAATATGTTTGTTTCAGCCCTACTCGTATAATTTAATGGATTGTGTGTTTCTAGTCATGGAACAGCACAATAAACGCTAATAAACAAGCACTTGATGAATGAAAGCAAATGTGTTGCTGCAGAACATCAAGTGATTTTTGAGGGTACCTCCAGGAGTTGATTCAGAAGGCGTATGTTATCCTGAATATGATGCTAGTTTTCCATTAAAATTAACATTGCTACAATGGTCTTGATTTGTAAAACGGAAGGAAATAATTTTAAAATGTAATAGGTCTAACTTGTAATAATTTGTTTATACTTGCATATGCAGATGACTTTAACTAAAATTAATTAATTTCAGGCCATGATGTTGCATCCATAAATATACACAACCTTTCAAAAGTTCAGTTCAGTAAGATTTTTCAGGGTTTATGAATGAAGTCTCTTATGCTCACCAAGACTGCATTTATTTGATCAGAAATACATTAAAAACAGTAGTATTTTGAAATATTATTACAATTTAAAATAAGAGTTTTTTTTTTTTATTTGAATATAACTTAAAATGTAATTTATTCCTGATGGCAAAGCGTATTTTTCAGCATCATTCCTCCAATCATCAGTGTCACATGATCCTTCAGAAATCATTTGAATATGCCAATTTAGTGTTCAAGAAACAGTTCTTATTAATGTTGAAAACAGCTTAATTTTTTTTTTAAGTATTTTTAAAAAAAATGTATATATTTATTAATATTTACAAAATAATAAAATAGTGTTTTTATCATATATATATATATATGATTATTACTACAGTATTGCTATATTTTATTTATATCATATTTTATTAATTCACTTTTGCTTTTGATGTTGTTTCATAGGCGTGACTACCCTCATGGAGGCCTCGTCTGCAAATGGAACAGCCATTACTCAGAGTGCTGCGGCAGGAGTGATGAGCAGCTCAGGGCTGACAGGCAAAAGGCGTTTTGAGGACCGTGCAACTTTCGACAAGCGTCTGCGCTTTAGTGTTCGTCAAACTGAGAGTGCTTACCGCTACAGGGATATTGTAGTTAAGAAACAAGATGGCTTTACACACATTCTGTTTTCTACAAAGACCTCTGAGAACAATTCACTGAATCCTGATGTGAGTACAAATATATTTCATGTTAGAAATGTTGATTTGACTTTAGATTTAAAATGCATAAAAAGAGTTTGTTCTATTTTTAAGTATCTTGACATTTCACTCATTGGTTTTTATAGTTTAAAAAGTAAAAACCTCAATCTGAATACCTGAATTCAGGCTGGATGGTATGACAGTAGAAAAAAAAATCTGATGCCATACAGTACATGTATAGTGTTCTCTCCAGACTGTGTGACAGAAAGGCGCATGTAATGGAAGCCATTTTGTTTTGACACGTCTTGTCACATTCTGACATAGACACAGTGTAACTAGGTTTCTATTATATATGATATTACTCGTACTGTGATATTGGTCATTCCCCCCACCCCACTCTGAAGTGATATAACATCACTCAAATGGTTTCCAGGTAATGAAAGAGGTTCAGAGTGCCATGGCCACAGCTGCAGCTGATGACAGTAAACTTGTTCTACTGAGCGCCGTGGGAAACGTCTTCTGCTTTGGCCTCGACTTCATCTATTTTATTAGGCGGCTCACGGATGATAGGAAAAAAGAAAGTATCAAAATGGCGGAGACAATCAGGTACAAAATGATGAGAATATAAATATTATGACAGCTATTTTACCACCATATTTCAGGGAACTGTTTTGTAATAGTAGCTATATATAAACCAATGTTTTCTGTTGTCTTCAGAACTTTCGTCAACACATTTATTCAGTTCAAGAAGCCCATCATTGCTGCTGTGAATGGGCCTGCTATTGGGCTTGGAGCGTCTATCTTGCCCCTGTGCGATGTCATCTGGGCCAATGAGAAGGCTTGGTTCCAGACTCCTTACACAATCTTTGGCCAAACCCCAGATGCTTGCTCCTCTGTAACATTCCCTCTCATCATGGGAGTCGCCTCGGTGAGTACATCAAGTGTGCCTCTGCATGAATAACTTGTCCTTTTATGCGCACTGGCTGATCTTAGCCTGAAAAATAAGCTTTTTATAACGATATTTGTGGAAAATAAACAACATTTATGACACAGTTGTTGTCCGATTTCTTTGGTGATTTCAAATAAGAAAGCTTAGTGAACAGTTTTGGAGAACTTGATGTTTCCCCATTCAAAGAGATAGGAGTTGCACTTGCATGCCCGAGAGGCGTTTCAAAGATGGCCGCCGAGTG